CCATTCCTCTCAGGCTATATTTCAGCCGGACACCCAAATCCTGGGTAAAAGCCAAAAGTTGGAAAGGAGAGCCATAATATCGGAGGTTGATTGCATTTACCCTGAGTGCAAGGAACTGTGCAAAACCGTGTCATTCAATCTGCCCCAAGAGGAGAACTTACGGAGAGCGTGGCTGCGTCATTTGAATATCGAAGAGCCGTCGAGTAATGACGGTCAGCTATGCCCACTACACTACGTTATTCTTTACGAACTAAGTATCAAAAGCTTTCCAGAGCACGTTTCAAACCGATTCCTCGAAGAAAACTACTATTCTGCTCGAAACAACAGACGCGTCAAGATCGTTAGCTGTGCGGTTAAAGGTTGCGAAATGATCAGGCCCCGGGATAAGGTGCTCCTGCACGGGTTGCCGCAAAGAAAAGACATGCTGAGAATGTGGGTTGAGAATGGCCAACTGGAGATTACGGAGCCGCAGCAGCAATATATGCTTAGAGTATGCCGCAATCACTTTGAGTCCCGATGCTCGTTTGACGACAGGCGGCTGCATACCTGGAGTGTTCCCACTCTGAACTTACCTGGAAATCCGGTGCACCAAATTCCCACTAAGGAGGAGTGGCAGGAAATGACAGTAAAATTGTCCCAGGAAGCCGATACAATCAAATTGGAGATAGAGGAGGAGCTGGAAGAGGAAGAGCTGCACGAGGAGGAAGAGGCTGACAGTTCCCTTCTAGAGCCCATCGTAAGAATGGAGCACATCGAGTCCGACGAGGAAGACTCTGAGATGCAAGCCTTGGAGGTCCTTCTGGAAGTTGGTCACGTTGAGCGAATGGACAGCTACGAAAGAGTGGACAAGACCTATATCGAACATGCCGTCTACCAATCTAATAGTATTCGAAACCAGTACAATGCCAACCACTGCGCCGTTGAAGGATGCGAAGTGACAGTTGAGGACGTGGACGGGACCATCAAGCTGCATAAGTTCCCCGCGTCTTCGGAGGCCGCTAGGAAGTGGATGCACAACACCCAAGTTGACATGGATGAGAAGTTCTGGTGGCGGTATCGAATATGCAGTTACCATTTCGAGCAGGAGTGCTTCCAGAGCGCTAGAATAAAGAAGGGAGCGATGCCCACTCTTCTCCTAGGACCTAGGAGACCAGAAAAGGTATACGAAAATGAATTCGCATTGCAGGAGACTGAAGAGCTTATTTTGCCCGAAGAACTTCAGTTTGAGGAGCACAAAAAGGCCAAAAGTGAGGTAATAAAACTCTGCCTGCCTACGCCGGCTCCGCCTCGAAAGTCCAGTAAGTTTTGTCAGATTGAGGGCTGTATAAATCACCTGACCACTCAAAACATAACATTGCACAAATTTCCTCATTCAGAGGACATGTGCCTCAAGTGGCAGCACAACACACAGGTGCCTTTCGATCCCTTCCACCGGTGGCGATACCGGATCTGTAGTGCGCACTTTCATCCGGTGTGCCTGCTTAACATGAGACTAGTCCATGGTAGTGTGCCCACCTTAAAACTAGGTTCCAAGGCTCCCACCGAACTATTTGACAACGACTTCGAAGCCATTAACCTCAGGCTGGACAAGAAGCTGGGAGCTGACCCAAGCACCGTGCAGATAAAGGAGGAGGATGAAGATTCTATGCCGACCCTGGAACCAGAACTTCAGCTTCACGAGGACCAAGAGGCAGAGGACTCAGCAGCTACGCAAATACCCCTTGACCAGACAAACTGGAAGGGCCAACTGCGCTTGCCTGTGAAGCAGGAAAAGGTGACCTACAACCAGGTGAAATCCGGTTACGATAAGTGCTCATTGGGTCATTGCCAGCGGCAAAGATCTAAGCACGGCGTTCACATCTACAAATTTCCCAAATCGAGGCTCCAACAGGAGCGCTGGATGCACAACCTCCGCATCCGCTACGATGAGCGAAGGCCATGGAAGTTTATGATCTGCAGCGTTCATTTCGAGCCACACTGCATCAGTCTGAGGAAGCTGCGCCCCTGGGCTGTTCCCACCCTGGAGCTGGGCGACAATGTGCCCGAGAAGATCTTTACGAACGAACAGTGCCATGAACTGTTCACCGATCGCAGCGAGGTGGAGAGCGATGCCGATGAGGAGGATGGACTGCAGGAGGACGAGGACGAGGAGGAGGAGGATGAGGGTGAGTGCGAGGAGAATATAGGGACGGAGGTGCGCATCAAGCGGGAGCGGCGTTCCAAGCTGGATCCTTGGCCGCCGGGGCAGGTTCCGCCGTGGAAAGTTAAGCAGTGTTGTCTTCCTTACTGCCGGGCCTTCCGTGGCGATGGCATCAAATTATTTCGGCTGCCCAACAACCGCACCTCCATACGCAACTGGGAGCTGGCGACGGGCATGGTGTTCAAGGAGTCTCAACGAAACACTCGCCTGATTTGCAGCCGGCACTTTGAGCCCGAGTTGATTGGGGTAAGACGTCTCATGCGGAACGCCATTCCCACGAGGCACTTAAATCCTCAGGCATCCTCCGAGGAAGGGAAGAGAAAGCAGGATCCTCCCCTCCCAATTGCAACCTGTTGCATGGCTGACTGTCATCATAACGGAAATGTTAAACTGCACAAGTTTCCCAGTGGTAAGTAAGCGAACTACAAAACTAAATCAAACTAATCTAACATTTATTGTTCCTCTTATTAAAGACCCGGCGCTGCTTAGACAGTGGTGCCAAGCACTCAGGCTCACGGATACTCAAAGATACCGGGGCAAACATATCTGCTCGGTCCACCTGCCCACCGACAGGACGGTTAGCTGTGTCATCTGCGGAGTGGACAATGTCCAGTTGCCGATGCTGGACTTTCCAGAGCAGCGCAATCAGCGCGCCAAGTGGTGCTACAATCTCAAGATCGAGGCCATATCCAAGTGGGACCACTCCAACCACATTTGCTGTCGTCACTTCGAGTCGCATTGCTTCCTCCAGCCGGGTGAACTGCGTCCTGGTGCGATTCCCACGCTGCAGCTGAACCACGACGACACGAATATATTCCTCAGCGACTTCGCCACTGGTCCGACCGGCAATCGGATCAAGGACGAGCCGCTGGACAATGACGACATGCTGCTGGTTTAGTCTACCCACATGGAATCATTTTAGTCTAGTTTTAGCTGTACCATTTTATAAACCTTTTTGTACAACCATTGTACAATGCCACATCACGTCTTCTAGTTTTACCATGTAGTCTTACCGGTGATTTTAATGCGTTATTAATTCATAAATGGTTCGTGGAGAAAGGATATGCCATACAAAGAAACAAACAACACAAAATGTTCCTTAAGTTTTTGTTTTACTTTTTATACATACGTACTTTAACTGTGAGAAAAATGTGTTTTAGTTTCCATAATACTGACATATATAAACTATAGACATATTATGTAATATCCTTGAGCGTATATGTGTATGTAGACTTGTAGATGTCCCCATATTAGTTGGAGGTTTTCTAAATATACATATTACTGAAACTGAAACTAAGCGTATTGCCTCTGGGAAGAAAATAAATCTATTAGGAGCAACTTTTAAAATCTTGTATTAAAGCTGTCCATATAAGTTGTGTAACTTTTACCATTTCGTTGTGTTTACTTTTTAATTGACTATTATATACACTTTACTCTGCTGGTCGGAGAATAAATTTACACATTTTCGATAGAAATTGGCCAAGACAAGTAATATGACTAACATCTTTCTAACGAATCTTTCACTAGAATCTGAATGCTTCAACTTATCTTTCTAGCTTGTATTGTTCCCGAGGTAGGGAGATGGCCAGAACGACTCGGATCGGAAACGCTGCCTTCTACTTGTAACATACTTTTTAACGAATGTATCTTTTACTTCATACTTCAGGTTATTCTACTAGATAATACAGGAAAAGTCGACTTCAAAATGGAGCAGGTCCAGGTAAAAGAGGAACAGCTGTACAGCTTTAAACCTCAAAGCTGTACAAGATAGTCCAACTTTGTTCCTCGGCCACGAGGAGCATGTGATACTCAAAAGGATAAGACGGCAGCACTAGTTGCTTTCGGAGCAAAGACGAAGGTTTTCGTCTATTTTAATACCCTATACCTCTATTTAAGGATTTCAGTTGTGCCAGTCACGCTTTTCAACGGATTGCTTGAACCCAGGATAGACGGGTCGCAGGAGCTATTGATTTGCCTGGTGCCAGGGATGCGGATGCTCCTAAGCATTATTATATGCTGCCAAAGGTTACAGTGGAACTAGATCCGTAGTCGAAAAACCTATTAATTCCATTTTTTGATCTCCTGCGGGACGATCTTCGCATTTGCCACTGGAAGAGCTACAGCTTTACGAAGAACCTGAAACTTAGTCCTGGATCGCTGACCACATTATTCCGGACCACAGCCAAAAAGTACATCCTCGAATGCTGTGGTTCCCAAACTGTACCCCGGGAGCCACCTGCTGACTGTCCGAATGGCCGAAAACTTTGTCTGATGCAACATGCTTCGACGGTCGACGTGTGTTGCTTGGGAGTGTGCCGAGTTTGCATCGAAATGTTACTAAAGAGCAGTTGAGGATTTACAATGGCGATTTACAAAATGGCGAAGGTGAGTCATTGGGCTACAGAAAGTGAATTTGATTTTTCGGATTTAGATTAAATTGACGATGAGCTTTCGCATATGCAGCCTCGACTTTGTTGAGAATTGCTTTCAAGGCTTCAGGGCGAAAAAAGGGCGAAGTGCCAACGCCTCGCTTTCGGGAGAAAAGAAAGCCTCTATTCGTAGTTTACAAAAGTGTGTGGATAGCCCAGAAAAGAAAGCCTCCATCCTGGTTTCCCCGGGCAGTGAAGGATTCTGGTTAGAATAATATTATATTTAACACTTTACTTTATGACTCGAAAACAAACTGACGCACAATTGTGAGCACTTGAATTAAATATTTTGCTAGTATATGCGTACTAATATATAATATATATTTTATATAAGAGTATGATGCTTAATTTGTATGCGTTACATAAATTCATGTTTGCTACTAATACCTAAATATTGAATTTGAGGGCAAAAAATTGATTTATGCATATAAAACCTGTAGTTACAATTAAAAAAAAATCATATAAATAAAAAAAACTGTCTGACAGTATGTACTATGAATAATTAGTTAATTGGAAAGAATAATGAAGCTAATGAAGTTTTTAAGACCTACAATTAATGTACACTCTTAGGAGTTAACAAAACACTTGGAAACACAAATATTACTTTACTGTCAGAAGAACCTTAACTAAGAGAGTATGTGAGCAAGGGGCTACTGTTTCCCCGCCTCGTTTGCGGAGGATCCATCTTCGTTTTGTGGATAACTAGCGTCCAGAAAGAGATTACGATCCGATTTGTTCGACTGCAATGGGTAACTTGATTATTAACTGCTGTAAATAAAGTAAGCCCACTGACCTCTCGGTATTTTTGCAGGTAAATAGATAGTGGTTCCACGTAGTTGTCGAATCCCAGATTGCTAAAGGCAACCAGTAGGTCGTCTCCATTGACTGTCTTGCGATTTTCGGCGACGCTACGTTCGATGGCCTCACTGCTAATGAAGGATATAAATTCAGAGACGCACTCCTGGATGCACTCTCGTGCATCCTTGGCTATCTTGCCATTTTGCGGCACCGGCACCTTCATGATTTTAATAATGTTGCAGATGGGCAGAAATCGGTCCTGTTCCCGCAGCATTATTCCTCCGTCCTGCTTGTCCGAATCGTCTGCGGGGGTAAAATAGCAGAGTCAAGCAACAAAACACAGGGTTGTAGATGGTCTTTCGCTTACCGCCGGACGCTTCGTCCTCCTCTTTAACCAGCATGTCGTTGAGATACTGCTGCGAGTCCTCGCTATTACTCATATCTCGAATTTTTATCAGATTTTTTCAGCGGCTTTGCTTTTGTTTACTTTGCTAAATTTCGTGACCTATCGTCAATCGATAACGACCAACAGTGGTGGAGGCTCACCGCTCCACCCGATAGTCGCGCCGCTGGATCTGGCAACGCCGTGCATATCGATAGTCGTCTTCTGATCGCAGCGGTATACAGCGGTATTTATTGCGCTGCTGCTCTCTTCTTCTTGATATTGATAGTTGTTGATCTGATATCCTCTGATCGGAGCGAAATGCTGTCGAATTTGGCGCTGGCCAAGGGGAAGGTCGAAATGGAGGACGCCAAGATCAAGTTGGAGCCACAGGACGAGGTGCCGGACAGTGCCATCAAAATTCTGAGCGGTAAGCTTACAATGCTCTCGCTCACATGCGTGTGTGTGAGTGCTGCTGGGTGCCAAAGTGTGGGTGTCGCAGCTATTCTATTACGCACTTTACCGTTAACTTTTAATTCTTGTTAAATTTGACCAAACTACAGCATGTGATACGCTGAAAATTTTGGACGAGGGATCTCAAATGATAACAGTGCCGATCAGGGATCGTTTGCGTTCCGAGGACGAGCGCCTATTTATTGCTAGTCTTGGACTCGATCAGCAACAGGTAAATATACATAACCTAAAAAGCACATTCTCGCAAAGGGGTGTGTCGGAAGGGGGCCTGCGAGGATCCCGTTTCGGGATTTTAATATCATTCATAGGCAAGAATTCATTTTCATAACTGTAAACAAATATACAGTCCTAATTTACAAGGAAACATATGTATGTACATATGTACTTAGTCCGAAAATTAAATGTAAATATATGTTTTCATAATAATCTAGCGTAATTCAAAGTAAATATATGTATATATTGTTTTTTTTTTTAATTCAAAAATACAAAAATGATGATGAAAACATTAACAATTATCTAATACTTTGACATCCAGATATTTGCGTCTCCATCGGAGGACAACCCAACCCCAAAAGATTGCGATATTTGCCAGTATAAGTTTAAAAGCCAACTGGATATATCAAGTCACCAGGTCCACCATGAAATGAACCTTCATTTCTGTCGTCTGGGCTGTGGCATCTGGTTGGATACTCTTGAAAAGATCCTTGAGCACGAATATCGCCAGCACTCGAATCCGGGATATTTGTTTGGCTGTAGGGTGAGTTATCTGGGTCAAACTTTTATGCACACATTGATTAAACAGAAAACCGCTTAGGTTTGCGATTTTTTGGCAAAAGGCGCGGATGACCTGGCCAGCCACATGCAGAGGCACATTTACGTATATCGCTTTGTTTGTTCCATTTGTCGTCGGCATTTTGAGTCCAAACAGATTCTTAATTTGCATAGAAAGCAGAGCCAGACCGTTTGCAGCAGTGTGGATTTCAGACCGGAGTTATCGTCGAAACCAGAACTTGTGGCAGTTAGTACGCCTGTGACCTCGGAGTCGTTTTGCAATGTGCAGATAAAAGAGGAGCCACTTAACGCAGAGGATGGAGAACAAATGCTATTGGAAGACAACCCTCCACTCAACATAAAATTGGAACCACAGGACGACGAAGTGCCAGATGTGAGCATTAAGGAGGAACAGTCCAATGGTAGCATCTGGCCAGCCATCCCTACTCCGTTAAGGAATAAACTGCGTCTGCCAGCTTTGAGCTCCATCAAAAAGCAGACGGACTTACAAAGTAAGGTTATTGAAATTATAATTTAAAATAGTTATATAATTACCTACTACCTTCTTAGCAGGTGTTAAGCGAAATGGACTACCAACATCAAATGTGAAATCTCTTAACAAAAAATCCATTCACGCAGTGATTTCCGATAATTCAAATATTCTTCCAATCTTCAACCAAGACTCTGTGGCACATACAAATTCTTCGATTGCAGCCAATATACTGAAAGTGTTACCTAGTAACTGCATGGTCATCAAGTTGCCCCCCAACACAAAAATCTTGAAGATGCCAGGGCAAGCACCGACTGTAGCTAAGGAATCTCTTACTGTTACTTTGAGTGGTTCAGAGAATTTAACAAATGTTATAAAGATTCCGCAGGCGATAAGTATAAGTACCGTCAGTTCTGTGGACAATCCTCCAAGTATTGCCACTCCTGAGACTGCTAAGGCTGTGCTACCACCCCAAACTCACAGTCGATCATCGTGCTTCCTTGTCGATGCGTTTAACAAATCCGAGAGCAGACCCGAGTCCATGAAGATAATCAATGAATTTCGTAATCAAATTCGCTCCATAGAAAAGACATTGCCACTGCCGGGAACAGTTCTACAATCCTCCAAGGTAAAGATAAATGAATCATCGCCACATCCCATGGATGCACCCAGACCCGTAGAACTACTGCTCAACCCGTTGTCTTTTATGGTGGCGAAGGAGCTGCAGGTCCAGTACCCGCTATATCGTTTTATGTGGACTTGTCCGCTATGTCAGCGAATTTTCGAGAAGCATTGCGCATTTCGCACGCATCTAGCCAACAAGCACGACTTAACGGATGAAAAGTGTAGCATTCTTAAAGTGGTCTTAATGCCATCTAAAAGTAAGTAAACTCAAATCCTTTTGGAAGACTCTTTTTAATTATCTTTTCAGTACTTTCACAGGACTCAGCAATTGCTGCAACTGAAATAGTGCATGTGCCATCGGCTACACTTGTGGAATCGAAACCACAAACGCCTGTGCCTCCTTCAGAATTACACAATACTTTTACGCTAAGCGGAGTAGTTGCTCCTTTAGGAGATCAGGCATCACCACTATCCAATATTCCTGTTAACAAAGGTTTGTTAACGACAAGTGTAAAAACAGATTCATCAAAAGGCTCCAAGAAGTCCAGGAACAATCAACTGAATTGTACGCAGTTCCAGTGCACCGAATGCTCCAAAGTGTTTACTACTTTTGGAGCCCTCCGCATCCACAAGTCAATACACACGGGGGAACTGCCTCACAAGTGCAACTACTGTGACAAACGTTTCAGGACTCCTGGACAAGTGCGAGTTCACCACCGTCGTCACACCGGAGAGAAACCATTTAAGTGCAAAGTGAGAAGAAAACCTTTGGCTTTAAAAAATTTGGGCCTTTGCTTTAGAGAAATTAGATACTTGATTTATTGAAATCTTACCGTTTTCCTTTCAGATATGCTCATTAGATTTTACTCACCGGGAAACTTTAATTTCCCACCTATCGCGTCATATTGGGATGAAGCGGTATAAATGCTATGGATGCGATAAATACTTCGTAGTTGTCAGCGGCTTACGTGCCCATCGTCGTCTCCGGCCAGACACATGTGGGAAGGTGAAGTTCACGGCTCGAGCACATGGTCCTCGCGTGCGGGTCATCAGGGGAGAGGTTGTGTTCGAGCATCACCCAGAGCACAACGGCTATCTACGCAGTGAAGACCCGCTCAACATTTTGTCCCAACGCGATCAAACCGACTCAACCCCACCAGAAACTGCAAAGGGTATAAATTAATTGTTTTGTTTTTTTTTTTTAACACTTTATCTTTACTGTGTTTATTTTTGAACCAATTAGATAACGTCATTTCGATATAGATCGTATTTTTTTGAAAAACACGATGATTTAATACTTAGAAAGTAGGATCTGGATCCATAAGAAATTAGCATTGATATTGCCATGAATTATCATTAATTTCTAAGTTTTCAATTATGTTCCAACAAAGTCCATGAAATATACGTATCTGCTATTAAAAATATACTCAATGGTGCCCTAATAGAGTGTCCCTTGTAAAATTATTTAAAACATCTCTTATCAGTAAATGAACTATTAGACCTCTCTTTTATTGCCAACCTCGAAAGCGATTTGTTAAAATAATAATCCACTATTCGTTTTCATTGCTTGTTGTATAAATCATTTTATTGACTTGCATATGCTTAGTACCTATCCTTGAAGCTAAAGACTTTCAGAAAGAGAGGTTCGCGTAGAGCAGATGCATCAGCAGCAGCGATGTATTCGTCGATCGCATTGAAAAGCTCACTTTCCCGAGCTATAGTGGCCAGAGTCAACTTAGCTTTCATTAGGGTGGCAGCGTCGACAAACTGTTTGTGTAGTTTCTTATCGTGATAGGCGAATTTATCACTAAGGTCCAGTAAACCAAATAAGCTCATTCCAGGCACCTCGGTTTCTGGCGTCCATTCACTCAGCTTGAGTCCTTCAAATACCTGTTTCAGTTCGGAGCTGTACATATATTTCTCGCCAGTGGTGCCTCGCAGGCGGAGACTCTTGCCCTTGTTAGCGTAGGCCTGAAGAGTAGCGGTATCCGGTCCCCGATCTTCCACCGGAACGCTGTCTACAACTCCCTGCACGAAATTGGTGGTGAGGACCATCATGTTATGAATTTGAATGCCACGGATGGTCTCGACATAGCTAAAAAAAGTAGCTAATATCTGATTTTCCGATTGTGGAGGAACAGCACAGGCCAGGCTCTGTGAAATATTCATTGTGTTCAAACAATGTGATCCGATTTTCTGTGTTTTAATATTTACCACCGCAGATATGACAAATATAAGCATACAACGCATCTTCAGCAACTGATTTGATTCGACTAAAATAATTTTAAGAAGAGGTTCGCTTTTAATATAAATGTCGCTATCAGTGAATCGTTTATTTCTTTTATGAAATATTGTGCTAATGGGCTAAACTATCACATGAGATAATGGAAAGGCGATTAGGAACTAGAAATATTGTCAGATGCTTTTGATCTTTCCCTTGTCTTGGGCGGCATTCCAACGGAGAAGTGTAGGAATTGCTCTGGGGAATACTCATTGTTTTAAGATAATAATACATTAAAAATTGCCCTGCCAATAACGATTGAATACGAACAATTCTGATCGGATTTTGTTTTCTTATATAACTGTCACTAAAATCGTATCTCACAAACTGTATCTCGTAAACTTTTCCACGTGACAAAATATTTGGCAGCACTATAGCGCTCGAACGCATGCATGCTAGTTGAATTTTTCCTCTCTAGCCTGGTAGACTTCTTCGTTTATAATGTAGTCAAAAGTGGATTCGGGAGAAAGTTGTGGCTTGCAATGGGAATACCTTGTAATAATGTAATCGAATAAAAAAAAGTAGAGTGAACTTTCTATTAGACTTTCTGGACTATCAGATACCCTTTAGTCAGAAAGTGGGATTTCAAGAAAGATACAATTATGCACAAAAGAGAACTATTTGGCCATTGCTCGCTGGCGCTACCTGGTTGCTGTTACATTAGTTATATCCTTGTAGAGGGTATAATGATTATAATCAGACATTTGACGATCCCGTGTAAACGCAAACTAGTCTATACTTTTTAGAGCAATAAAATTTGTGTTTTAGTTTGATAAAAATCGGAAGCCTTTATCATGTTGGAACAGTCGAGCAATCTTATAAGAATATTATAAAAGAAATTAATGATCCGTTGTATATGATCATAAAATGTTTTTACGCTTCCTTCTACCGTTCATATATTTTTCATCGAGCTTAGGAAATCCGTTTACTCTACGACTAATAATTAAAATTAAAGACACTTACAAGTTTTAATTTCATCTTTTATTATTTCTCGTCATTCAGTTTGCAGTTTTTTGAAAATGATATATTATTTGTATGGTATTTTTAAACATAATATGACATTCTTACCCATACTTTAATGCGAAATACATATGCTTTTCTGTTTACTTGATTAGTATAATCATTATATTGTTTGCTTGCTTGTGTATCGTATTACCATTAAAATTGTTATATCTTTCTATTTCGTAAAACATACAAAACAATTTATATCTTAACAAAATTTGACAAGCCGGCAGATTTGTGTAATATACAACATAATCGTATATTTCAATTTATGTATATGTTATGTTAATACGATTGCAACTCTCTGCGGGGGTACCTTTATCTAGACATCTATTTTTGCTAGCGCTATAGTTTAATTTAGTATCTTTCGTTTTATTCCAAATTCGCCCAGCCGGCCAGCATCGTCTCAAAATTTACTACTTCCTAACACTTCCGATCCAATTGGCAGGGGCAACATGCTAAAGTAGTTATAACAAATACTTTTATTTCGTATAAATATTTAGTTTACATATGACTATGGTTGTTTAACACGTGTTTCAGCTAATAATTTAGTGTTTGCTTTTAAGCATTTGCTTGCTAACTTTTTATATATTTATGTATAATTACGAGGCCGAATTCAAACGTTTTGCAAAACAGCTTATCAATTATATACATTATTATGTACCTTAACACCTATTGCCAATGTCTCGATTTATATATTTATAACCGCGTGCGCCGCTCTATTTTATGGTAAAAATTATATGCTACAGTACATATCTACAGTTATCATTCTAATCTTTTCGCTTGGTTATTATCTATGTCTTCATACACCTTAGGTACAATAACTGCTTTTCAATCTAAATTACACAGAAATACGTGGCTAGCTCGGGTATCGACTGTGGTATATACAGGAATGTACTAGGGAACTGAATAGAGAAGTCGGGGGAATGAGGTTAAAGTTTCAATAGCTGCTTGGCTGGAAGTTGCGTCTGTGGTCTGTCTTATCGGGCAATGAAATTTGAAATGCCTGTTAGCTGCCAAGACATCCATCAGTCCATAAAGTTCGTCATCTTTTTGGGGAGATCAAAACATAAGTTGTGTTTGAAAACTAATTTTAGAATCTATCTGCCTTATAAAATATTCGCTATGCAAGACTTTTCACTAATTGCACGGACCGTTCTTACTGGTTTCCAACAACCGAGGCATAAAAACTGATTAACATAGCAGTGTTTGATTGATTGTATTACCCATACGTGTTTACATTATAATAGCGATTGGATTTTGCTGCCAAAACGCCCGAAGTTTTCGATTTACTTAAAATGGCTTCTACTTTCGACCCTATGCTTCCGTTCGAGATTCGATTTAGGCGGTAAGACTAATAGCTACCAAGTCCTTAGTTCAAATATGTATCGGTTTCCTGTGGCGCGCACCATGGAAGCACCATGGTCATTTCGGCGCCAGCCCCACGAACAACAAGTTGATTGACATCCTTCTCCATTAGCGAGCAAAATCTTGATGCACGTACATAGAAGTGCATGTGGGTTGATATATAAAGTTTTGATAATTAAACGTGTAACAGTCTTCTTTAGTTTACATTATCAGTAAAATAGAACGCATTAAAAGATCGAGTCCCCCAAAGAATCGTAATGGTAACAAAACCTGCTGGCGGGGGTGCACTTATCAACTAAACATATCCACGTATATAAGTATAGGTGTATTAAGTAAGTGTGGGCAGTAGCTGGCTATAATACTTTAGAGTTATGATATCCGTGTATATCGTAAATGCGTATTATGCGTAGAGTTCGAAATAAGTATGCAACGAACGCAGGGTCGATGAGGTTTAGCTCTGTAGGCCGGGCAAACTCATTATGAAATGCCCTCAGTTTGCATAGTTGTCGAATGAGCCCAAGTACTCCAATGCAGCACGATAGCAGAAGTGGTATTGATCCTGGGGAGTTATAAAAAGTAAAATACACCATTTTCCTTCGTCGATTAAGAAGACAGTGCAATACCCACCTCGGTTTGTACCATAGCCGGACGCTGGGAACGCAGTATGCGCACTGTCTGGAAGACATCCAGTACTCCTTCGTACTGCATTCGTTCCAGAACGATGCTCAGAGTGATAAAGACACCCGAACGTCCCACGCCCGCTGAACAGTGCACGGTAATGGGTCCATCCTGGCCAAACTGCTCCTTGGTCTTGTGCACCTGTCCGATGAAGTCGATGAAGCCTTCGCCCGACTTGGGCACACCCTGCTCCGGCCAATCGATGAACTGGAACTGGCGGACGGTGCGCGATGAGCCATCTCGGGCATCAGTGACCTAGGGGCGAGGATTCGGGCGATTAAATTAGTTTTATGTTGTAAACCAACAAGAAAGTGGTTGGTGCTCACCTTAAATTCACGCAGCTTGTACTGCGGCATGTTGTACTCAGCAATGGGATCCACGACATAATACTGATAACGTACGGATCGCTCATGTGGCCAGTACTGGAAGCATTTCTCCTGCGGATGTAGTGGTTAATTAACATGAATATTCACAGCATTATGGCGCAAGAAGGGGCTTACCCTGCCCATTTCCTTGAGCTTGGTCAGCATGACCACAATGGTTGAGTTGTGCTCCCAGAGCATGCGCCAAAAGTCCTCGGCGGCATCCTGCACAGGACCTTGTGCGGCGATGTAGGCGGATCGGTAGCGATAGCCGTCGATGAAGCTGGCGTTGACATAGTCGCTTCCCTCGATTCCATGGATGGGGGTCAGGTAGACGCGACTTGACTCGTACGGCAGAATGTGGACCAAGCGGTTCTTGTGCTTGTTGCACGGCAGATTGGCCGTTACGAACTTGGACGAGTCCATCTTGACGTTAGAAAGCTTCTTGAACTCCACCTCCATGCCCGAGATGGTTTCGCCGGGTTCCGTGATCAGTAGCTTCTGAAGGTGGGTGTGTAGATTGCGAGCCGGCACCTCCGTTACCCCACATATGATGGCTTCCAAGATGGCGTCATGGATGAAGATGTACTGATCCTCCGTCTGCACCATGTAGTTCCGTTGCGCCCGTAAGCAGGTAACATGCCCATAGATGTCGATAATCTTCTCGTGCTTCATTCGTTCCAACATCGAATCGATTACAATGTAACAGCCAGTTCGGCCCACTCCAGCGGAGCAGTGAACGATCACGGGCCCAGATTCCGGTGGCGTTAGGGCGCGACACCGGCGCAAGAACTGAAGGAAGGGAGCTGGATGATCGGGAACTCCATGATCTGGCCAGGCGGTGAACTGCAGCTGCTTGATCTCACGACGATCGTTGAAGCCCTGCCGGCACAACTGGAACGTACGGATGCTGTAGGTAGCCAGCTCCTGTGTCTCCGTAATGGTCACAAAAATCTGGCCATAGGTCTCCGTTCCACGAGTGGGCCAATACTGATCGCACTTTATGCGTGTTCGCTCCTCCAATCGCGTCATCATCACAATGGTGGCCGTCTTCAGTTCCCAACACATGCGCCAGAAGTCCACGAAGGTCTCCTGCAACGGACCTTGGGTCGCCACATAGGCATTGTGCTTCCGATAGCCGTCACAGTAGTTGGCATTGATGTAATCCGATCCAACCACACCCTCTACGGCTGGCAACTGGACACGTGAATGATCGTAGGCGGTGACATTGGCATAGCGGTTCTTCGACTTGTTGTGTTCCAGATTGGAGTTATCCCAGGTGAACTGCTGGCCCGGCTCAATGCTTTCGTACTCCTGAGAAAACTTCTGATTGTCATTCGACTTAAGTCGTTCGATGTGGTTGGCAAACTCGGATATGGGTATGGGCGGATGGGAGATCATGCCGGGCGTCTGGAAGTTCAGGCGCCTCATGTCAACGGGATCGCTGGGAGTAGGTCCGGCTCCCAGGTCAGCGGCCATCAGGGGCCTTGTAACGGCCGCCTGATCCGGAGTCTTGCATGGCTGGCGGCGACGCTTCACCACGCAGAGAACAATCAGCGCGGTGGACACGATGAAGGTGGAAAC